AAGATTGAGATTAAAGATTGAAGATTGGGAATTTGACCAATCAGGAAGAAACAATATTCGTTTGCTTCTTCCCGATTGGACACGTTGTGACAAAAATCGCTGTGAACCAGTGAAATCTCTGAACATTCATGTCAATGGCAATTGGTAATTATTTTCTTTATTATGTCTTTGGCAATAAACATTGAAATTAGTATATGTAATATTGTGATTGAAAAAATTAGGCGTGAAATTGCTACTATTAAAATATCGGAGCGCGGCTGTTTGTTTCCATGCGGCAATTAAATTGGATTGCCATTATCAGAATATCCAAGATTGTGATTAAGATTTGGATGAATTTAAAGAAATCATTAGTTTTTGTTAATGTAATTATTAATTGCTAATAAAACTTTAATTTTAAATTAGAAAACAATCTTTATTTCATGCCTTACACATTGCACGCATGCACATGCTCGCACACGTATGCACGTTCATGCACGTGCATGCATGCAATGTGTGAGACATGAAATAAAGATTGTTTTTTAATTTAAAATTAAAGTTTTATTCGCGTGCTATAATTTATATATTTGAATAGAAAATTGGATAAATCAAGCAACGTTAGGATTTATTCATTTCAAATTTATACTAAAGAAAATTGTGCTATTGTAAAAGTCGAAATGTCGTAGATAAGGGCTTATCCAGACAAACTTGCATAACCGCATAAATACTTGCATAATGATATTGAGTGGTTTATAAGCAAATGCGTAAGAAAATGGATTAATCAATTTCTTTATGCATATATTTATGCAAGTTTGTCTGGATAGACCTTTATGATGAACAACAACAATGTTAAAATTTGCATTTTTCGTGTGTTAGCTGTTTCAGAAGCGAGTCTCTTTCCTGTGCTGTGGATTATCATATTATCTTTGACTAAGTATGGAGGAGATTAAAGGAAAATTCAACAATAGCATTATTTATGCTTATGAAGGTTATACTTCTAATGTCGATAAACGTCAACGAACACATACATATAGATGCTCTACTCGTCGTACAACTGGATGTCGTGCATTGGCAAAAATCGGTGAAGATGGCAAAATTATCGTTAATCCTTTCCATAACCATGCACCTGATAATGCAAGAATACAAAAACATGGATTAAAACAAGAGATGTTACGGTTATCACGTGAAACAATGGGCTTGTTCGTTTTAGCTGCACTGGGGCAGCTCTGGGTCTGCTCTAAACAAGATAATACAGGACAAACTATTTATCTGTCCTGTATTATCTTGTGTAGAGCAGACTCAGAGCAGCCCCAGTGTAGCTAAAACGAACAAGCCCATTGCAGACTCCTAAAAGTATATTTGACGATGTTTCTCGACGGTAATTATAAGTAAAATTTTTGCTTAACAGTCCATCATGTAGTATAATAATCCTGATAGCTAAATGTTAATAATTATTGGCAAATTGACAGCAAATTTGATCAAATACTCATGTTTGATCAAATTTACCGTTAATCTGCCAATAACTGCTAACATTTGGCTATCAGAAAATTGATAAACTTATGTTTATGAAAAGGTGATTGATAATATATGATACATTTTATAGAAATCCTGAATCAGCAGCACTTATACTAAGGCACTAGATATGTAGGTATTCTTATCCGCCATTTTGGTTCCTATTAGATGGAGAATTATAGCGTATACAGGGTGACACTTAAAGACTGCCCACTAAGTACATAGCGTTATTCCTTGCCAAAAAATGAGTCGAAAAAAGTCCTGAATCATTTTTAATAATTGACGTGTTACACATGTACGCTATACTATACTATATACGCTATAATTCTCTATCTAGTAGGAACCAAAATGGCGGATGAGAATACCTACATATCTAGTGCCTTACTTATACCATTCAAGTCGATTAGAAGCCAACTTAATAGAGAACGAATAAAGAGCAGGCCAAAATTGCCACAATCCATAGCTATGCTAGCTGATCAGTTAAAATATTACACATCAATAAACCACATTTATAAGGGATGTGTAACTGCAAGTGATGGGAAAAAAGCATTACTCTTCTCCAATGATAAATTGCTCCAGGCACTTGAGTCATCCTCTGAAATTTTCTGTGACGGGACCTTTTCTGTAAGTTTAATTGTTATATATTATTTTATTACATTAAAACTATAAGTAAATGTAGAATTTAATTAAAGGTTGTTCCACGAGTTCCTTCCTTTAGTCAACTTTACACAGTTCATACGCGTTATATGGATAAGGTAAGTGTGTTTTACTTTTTACTTTATGAATGATTCTTAATAATTAGAAAAAGAAAACAGTTGCAACATTTGTTTATTTTATAGGTTATAGCGGTAGTATTTATTTTATGCGAAGCTCGTACCACAGCCCTGTATGAAAAAACTTGGTCGAAAATAATAGGTCTTGTTCCTAATCTGTTAGTGAACATAAAATTTATCATGACAGATTACGAATGGGCAGCAATAAGTGCAATGGAAAAAAACTTTGCAAATGCTACTATACATGGATGCTGGTTTCATTTGAACCAGGTTAATTCTTAATTCTTAATCATTTTTTCAGTTATGATCAGTAATTATTAATTACATTATTGAAACAATTATTAATATACTTTTTATTGTGCAGGCTTTACGAAGAAAATGGAATCATTTAGGTTTACAACATTCCTCGAGCATCATACTATCTATGGCAATGACAATACCATTGCTAGCAGAACAATATTTTACACAAGGTTATCATATATTGCGCAATAATTGGGAAGAAACAAATCCTAACTGTAACAGATTAAAGGAATTCTTGACTTACTTTGAAAGGACGTGGTTATCCAAAGCTCCAAAAGTAAGCGTATACAAGTGTCCGGTTAGAACAAATAATGCAGTTGAAAGTTTCCATAATGTACTAAATAAAAAATTGGGTGGTCAACATCGAAATGTGTGGATGTTTCTAGGTAAATTACAATAAATTATATTAAATTATTTTATAATTTTTAATTTTATTATTTTTTAAAATAAGAAATAAGAATTTTTATAAATATTGGTAATCGTAACAAATCTAGCTAAACACAATTAATTTAAAAAACATTTTTTTTTCAATTAATTATTTTGTTAAGAAAAAAAATAATAAGCATTAAGTGTTAAAATAATAATAAGCAATAAGTATTGATATCAAGATATAAATATTTAATTAAACTAATTTTATTTATTAAATACTTTTAGAAAAATTACAAAATGTTATAACAGATCAAACAATTGATTTGGAACGTTTAAAAAATAATATAGAAGTACGATCTCTCTGTACGATCACGCAAAAACATGGAAAGAGATAAAAAAATTCTTCAAGCACAAACAGATCTGATTTCTGAAAGGTACACACAATTGCATTTCTTTTTTTGTATGCACATATATTATTTTAGATTAATATTAATATTGTACAATATATATTTTATAGATTACCACTTGAACAATTTCTTTGTATATTTAATGATAAATTGGATGACTTTTCTTACAAAGAGAATCTTATTGTCCAAAGTAAGTAGAAATAAAAAAATATTGTGATAATTATATATACACATATTCAAATCTAATCAAAAAATTTACAGCGTCTGAAGATATTTTAAATGAATCATCGCCAATCAAAACAGATTTTGCACAATGTGAAAATATGGGAATAGAAATGATTTGTCCTATTACAAATACATCAGAATTCAAAAAAGAATCACAAAAACTTTCCGAGAAAAATATTGAAAATACAAAAAATCGTCAAGTGCTTGAACCAATTGAAAATGTCGACATAAAAGTGTAAGATTTGTCATATATAATAATTTGTTCTTCTTATGTCAAAAACGACAAATGTGCAACTTTACAGTTTTAGAGTTATTGCTATTTAAAAATTTAATTTGTTTTAAAAATTGCGATTCTTGTTTTATTTTTATAATTCTTTTAATTATTCAATTCATCATCCTAAAAATCTTTGTCCAAAATTAAATAAAAAAAAATAACATAGAGAAATCAAAAAATTGAAACATTTGTGATTTTGACACATGAGGACGATTTATCATGCATAAATCTCACATTTATATAAAAAATGAAAAAAATAAAATATTTTATCTTCATAGCACAAGTAATAATGGAACATCGATGCATGTACAACTGTATTGCAATCCATTTCAACGATACAAGAAATAAAAAACTCGAAGAAATTAACTTGCATATATGTTTGAATTCGAAAATTACATAATCATACAGTATATATGTACGTATGTTATTTTTGTTAATTTTCTTATACATAAAACAAAAAAGTCTTCCAAAGCCTTACAAAGGATAAATGAAAAAGTATTGTGTTTGAGAGTCATTTTCGTAATAAATATTTTTTCAATTTACTTAAGAACCAGCGTAGTCTCGCGCGTATCTCAACTTAATTATAAGTAACAAATTAGTCGTTACAATAAAATAAAATTACTTAAATTTATATAAACATATATTGTTTCATAAACACTGTAAGGATTGTTATATTTTAAGAAGTATTTATTCAAAAAAGAGAGAATTTATTTTTTCTTATGTAGAATATAATAGAATGTAAGATTATAAGATATTTTCTTAGCTATTATAGATTATAGATTATAAGATATTTTCTTAGATATTTTATTATTTTCTTATATAATATATAAAATAATGTACGAACAACAGCAGCAGTGTATGCAACTTTTAGCGTTTTTCCTTGGGACTGCACTCGTGCAGTGTTTCTATAAGAGCAATGTTAAAATCTGCACTGTCTTCGTGCTAATTTTAACATTGCTCTTATGGAAACACTACACGAGTGCAGTCCCAAGGGAAAACGCCATTTATTTCTGCTACATATAACAGAAGAAACTTCATATTAAGAGTCTCTACATTAGTTTATATAAAACTAACGTTAATGTTAAATAAAATGCAGAAAACGCAATTCCTATACGAATGTGTAAAGTATATGTTTTCGTACTTATTATAATAAATTTTGATGCCGTTGTGCAATTTTCATCTTTTTTAGTATAGAAAAAAAAGATAATATATAATAAAAAAGTATATCTCTCTTGCATAT